TGATGTCACCCTGTTTGTCACCTCACAGGAGCATTCAGAGCTGTATCCATGATCCTGAGCCCTGTTTGTCACCTCCCAGCATCCCTGGGAGCACTCAGAGCTGCATCCACAGCCTGAGCCCTGTTTGTCCCCCTTCAGTGCCCTGTTTGTCACCTCCCAGGAGCATTCAGAGCTGCATCCATGATCCTGAGCCCTGTTTGTCACCTCACAGGAGCATTCAGAGCTGTATCCATGATCCTGAGCCCTGTTTGTCACCTTTCAGTGCCTGTTTGTCACCTCCCAGGAGCATTCAGAGCTGCATCCATGATCCTGAGCCCTGTTTGTCACCTCCCAGCATCCCTGATTGTCACCTCAGAGCATCCCTGGGAACATTTAGAGCTCCATCCACAGCCTGAGTTTGTCACCTCAGAGCATTCAGAGCTGCACCAACAGCCTGATGTCACCCTGCTTGTCACCTCCCAGTGTCCTGTTTGTCACCTCAGAGCATCTCTGGGAGCACTCAGAGCTGCACCAGCGGCCTGAATCCTGTTTGTCACCTCCCAGTGTCCTGTTTGTCACCAGCCTGGTGTCACCCTGTTTGTCACCCCTGTCACAGCAGCACCAGCTCGAGGGGAGAAGCACCAGCCTCTGTCTCTGAGCTCCTTTTGCTTCTCAGCCCTGAATTATAAAAATTCTGATTAATATCAGAGCACAACAGATCCTGCACAAAACCATAAAAAGCAACATTTAAAGTATGTTTTATTTGTGGGCTGCAGACAGCCCCAGTAGCAGCTAGAGTCTGTCTGTCCTTCCCAGCTAAAGTCCCCGTGCTTTCCCATCCTGTTGCTCTTGGCACAGCTCCTTCCTCCCAGCTCCACAGCTTGCCAAAATTTGCTTTGTATTCCAGGCTAGAAAGCACCTCAGGAAAGCCCAGGAAATCTCACATTATCTCTTGGCAAGTCAATAATCTCATTTATCTGCTGGGACTGTCAGTTTGTTGAATTTCAACAATGGTTGTTTACAAATGTGCTCAAAACTCCTGCAGGTTATGAAGGTTTTGCAGCATTTCAATAATTCCACAACACAAAACCAGCAAAAACAGAGAACATCCAGCATCCCAGTGTGGGATTGGGATTGTCCCCACAGAAGGAATCACAGTGGGGTGTGCCTGGAATTATTCTTTGTGCTGCACTGGAAGCTTGGAGTGACTTTTCCTTTTCCCTTCTTTTTTTTTTTTTTTTTTTTTCCCCACAGATTTTGGCTTTGGGAATTTCTACAAGAGCGGGGAGCCTCTGACCACGTGGTGTGGGAGCCCCCCCTACGCAGCCCCAGAGGTCTTCGAAGGGCAGCAGTACGAGGGACCCCAGCTGGACATCTGGGTACCATCATCCTCAATTTTAGTGCATTCCAGTCCACCTCCGGCAAGCTGGAACCAATATTTGATTGTTCAAAGCTGCAGATCTGGAGTATTTGATTTTTCTTAAGCTGCAGCTCTGGAATATTTGATTTTTCCAAAGCTGCAGATCTGCAATCCTTGATTTTTCTTAATCTGCAGCTCTGGAATATTTGATTTTTCTTACCTGTAGATCTGGAATATTTGATTTTTTCCAAAGCTGCAGATGTGCAATCCTTGATTTTTCTTAAGCTGCAGCTCTGGAATATTTGATTTTTTCCAAAGCTGCAGATCTGCAATCTTTGATTTTTCTTAAGCTGCAGATCTGGAGTATTTGATTTTTCTTACCTGCAGATTTGGAATATTCAAGTTTTCTGAAGCTGCAGATCTGGATTATATAGATTTTTCTTACCTGCAGTTCTGGAGTATTTGATTTTTCTTGAACTGAAACGATGTTGGTATTTAAAATAAAATCACCTTCACATCTGTGTTAAGGATTCTGTGAAGGTGCTCAGCTTGCAGCGATCCCCAGTTCAGGGTTTTCTTTAAAAAAAAATCTATATTTAATTGCAAAATCTCAGCGTTTAATTGCAAAATCTCAGCGTTTTTACAAAGTTTTGAGGTCAGCACCTGCGTTTTGCCCCTCGGCAGAGCCAGTGCTGTGTCAGGCTGCTGTGGTTCTCTCACTGGGACTTTTTTGGAAGAACATTCCCACTGGCACTGCCAATTCATTGGATCCTTCCAGGAATAAGCAATTGCAGCAGAGCTCTTGCCCAGAATTTCCCCTTTTGCTCACATTGAACAATCCCTGAAGTCACTGTTCATAGAAACTCCTCTTCACAGGCTTGAAATGGAAAATATTACAGTTTTTCACTTTGAGGGGCTGCTGTCTGAGGGTGGATTTGTTTGGGCAAGGCTGAGATTAAAAGTAAATTAAATAAATCATAAATAAATAAAAATATAATAATACTAATAACAAACATATAAATACCATAATAAATATATAATATATAATAATGAAAATAATAAACCTATAAATAATATAATAAATAATAAATAAACATATAATAATTATATAATAATGACAATAATAAACCTACAAATAATATAATAAATAATAAATAAACATATGATAATGTTAGTTATGAATATATAGACAATATAATAATAAATAGATACTAAATATGCCATCATATTAAATACCATAAATAATACATAATGTAATATAATAATCTTAATAATAATGAATTTAATAATAGTATTAGTAATGAATACATAAATAATATAATAATAAATAGGTACTAAATATTGCCATGATATTAAATAATATAAATAATACATAATGAAATATAATAATAATAAACAAAAATAATGAATGAATAATAAAATAAATTATAATGAAAATATCCCAAATTCTCAGCTGAAGTTGCACCCTCAGAGACACTGCTGGGAGCTTGGAACTGAGCAGAAAATTCCCTTTTTTTTCCCCACAGAGCATGGGGGTGGTACTCTATGTGCTGGTGTGTGGAGCCCTGCCCTTCGATGGACCCACCCTGCCCATCCTGAGGCAGAGGGTGCTGGAGGGGAGGTTCAGGATCCCTTATTTCATGTCAGAAGGTAACAGTGGACTGGTTTTTCTCATTTTGGTGTGATTTGAATAAATTCTGGGGTAACCACAAGGTGGGCAGGGGGAATGGCGCTGCTGGCCATGAAGAATTTGGGTTTTTCTCCACTTTAATGTGATTTTTAGGCTTGTTTTGAGAGGTTTTTAGCAGCAGTGATGCATCTCTTGGGTGGTAGGCCACTAAGTTTAAAATTTTTTTTTTTTCCCCTTTCCAACAGAATGTGAGCACCTGATCAGGAGAATGTTGGTCCTGGACCCCTCCAAACGTTTGAGCATCGCTCAGATCAAGGAGCACAAGTGGATGCTGGTGGAGGTTCCTGCCCAGAGGCCAATCCTGTACCCGGCAGGAGAGGAGAACCAGCCCTCCCTGGGCGAGTACAACGAGCAGGTGCTGAGGCTGATGCACAGCCTGGGCATCGACCAGCAGAAAACTGTGGAGGTAAAACTCTGATGGGGGTAAAACACGCTGAAATGGGGGTGAAACACTGAAATTGGGGTAAAACACGCTGAAATGGGGTGAAACATGCTGAAATGGGGGTGAAACCCACTGAAATGGGGGTGAAACCCACTGAAATGGGGGTGAAACATGCTGAAATGGGGGTAAAACACGCTGAAATGGGGGTGAAACCCGCTGAAATGGGGGTGAAACATGCTGAAATGGGGTGAAACCCACTGCAATGGGGGTGAAACACTGAAATTGGGGTGAAACATGCTGAAATGTCGCTGAAGGACACGAAAGAACACAAGCACACCACCGCTCTCAAGGGGAAGGAAAAAAGGGAAGTTTTATTCTCTGACTCCAATATTTAGAGTTTTACAAAAGTGACGGCGGATTGGAAGGTGACAGTGACACCTCTGCAGTGACACTGGTCAAACCAACAGTCCACCAACTCTCTCCTCCTCCATAAAGGAATGCAAAACAATGAGTTATTTACAGAAAGTGTGTGAGAAAGTTCGCTACAAGAATGTCGACATCAGAAGGCTTAGAAAATCTTAAAAAGCCAGGGTGACACTGAAATGGGGGTAAAACACCTCAAATGGGGGTAAAACCTCAAATGGAGGTGAGACACACTGAAATTGGGGTACAGCACACTGAAATGGAGGTGAAACATGCCGAAATGGGGGTAAAACACTGAAATGGGGGTAAAACCTCAAATGGAGGTGAGACACACTGAAATTGGAGTACAACACACTGAAACTGGGGTAAAACACACCGAAATGGGGGTGAAACCCTGAAATTGGGGTAAAACACACTGAAATGGGGGTGAAACCCACTGAAATGAGGGTAAAACATACTGAAATGGGGGTAAAAGACCTCAAATGAGATAAAGCACACTGAAATAGGGNAAAAGGGGAAAGAAGGGAAATAGCTAAAATAGGGAAGAGGGGAGCCATGCTGGGGATTACCCAGCGTGATGGGGGGATTTGGGGTGGGTTCTGTTGTCCCCCCTGTGTTGCTGCAGCTGAAGGCTTTGCAGAGCTGCGGGAGGATGAGGAGGGAGGGCAGCAGGGCTGTGCTGTGCTGTTCCAGCCCTGGTGCTGTTCCAGCCCTGGCTCCTGCCGGGCTTTGCAATCTGAGCCGGCCTTGGCCGCCGGGCCCGCTGACGTCCCTGGGCCGCGGTGGCGTCACCGTCGCTGCCCGTCAGGGCCCTGTGTGACACCCTGGGCTCTGAGTGACACCCTGACCTTCAGAGCCTGCCTGGCAGCGGCCTTTGGTGGTGCCCATGTGCCAGGGTTCGGCCTGCAGGCTATCGGGGGTGCTGACCCTGGTTCACTGCAGGCCTGGGACAGTCCGGTCTGCACGTACCAGGGGTTTAGGGCACTGCAAGGTGCTCGATCCCAGCTCCAAACACCAAAACTGTCCCCGAAATGCTTCGTTTTTGAGTGGTCTTGCAGATAGAGATCCATTAGGGGCTGCTGGGAAAGCAGCCCCCAGTCCTGTCCCCCAGAGCTCTGTGTGAGCAGCCCCAGCTCTGCCCTGCTGCCCCAAACCAACTCCAAGGTGGCTTTTTCTGATTTTTTGTTAAATCTCTCCCTGTTTCTCTGCTTCTGAGGGATCTCCCGTGGTTTTCTGGCTCCTCTGAGCAGCGCAGACAGCACAAACAGGGTGAATGGGATGGTTCAGCAGGGCCTGTGATAACCACAGCGTTTATCAGCTCTGCGATCTGCTGGTCAGCATTCCAGCGGCCTGGGAGCATTGAGAGCTGGATCAACAGCCTGATGTCACCCTGTTTGTCACCTCCCAGGAGCATTCAGAGCTG